CTCTTTCTCCTGCTCGCCCTTCTCCCCCTGGCCATCGCGGTCGACGCCAGCGCCGTCGGCGCTGGCGTCGTCAACGGCGACGGCGACCGCGACGGCGCCCCCAGCCGTTTCGGCGCCGGCGCCGGGCGCGGTGGGGGCGATGCGCCCCGCCCGCGCGCGTCCGCGCGGCCTACGAGCGAGGAGAACTCGAACGGCACGCTGCCTGCCATGTTGGGCGGTGCCGTGGGGTTGGATTTCAGCACTGATCTGCAGATTCCGCACAGGACCCCGGTCGCAGAGGCCGCGCACGGCGGCTGCGTGTGCGAGGGGCGCTGTTGGAAGACTGATCAGCCCGTGGACACGGCGTTGGCAGCGCAGCTGAGCGCAGAATGCAGCGGCGGGGTACGCGGCGGATTGCCAGCGCCCCGTCGTTCAATGAGGTGCGGGAAATCAAGAGAGGGTATCGCGCGCTGGTGGGACAGGCGAAGGACAGGACCGCGGCGCATCGAGCAAAAAGACACATGAAGAGGTTGCACAGTGACATGTGCGGAAGAGGCGTGGTGCGGTCGGCGCAGGAGAGTCTAGTTTCTGGGCGTCCGAGCCCAGCGCCCGTGCTTTCCACTCGGAAGCTTGGGATGTGGCCAAGCGGTGGGAACTTGCCGAGCCCCCCGCGCTCCTCCCGCCGCTGCCCCGCGCCCTCCTTCGCGCGATGGTTGGCCTCCACTGGCTTTGGGACTGCCCTCTGATGGCAGCCCTGTTGCCGATGGGATCTACCGTGCTTCTCCGCCCTGGCGAAGTGCTGGTCGCCCGCCGTTTCGACCTCTCGCTGCCCGGCGATCGGTTGGAAGCCAGCGGTGATGCCATTTTTGCCATGAACGGAACAAGGACCCGCCGCGCCTATCCGACGCTGCGCGCTCGCTGCTCCGACGGGTCGTCGGTGAGGCTCTTGGAGCTGATGTTCCAGCAATTGCGCTCCCTCGATCCGCATTCGCCCATCGGGCATAGCGGCTTCCGTGATCGGTGGGGCCAGTTGATTTTGGCTGTGGGCGCCCCATTATCCAACGCGGCCTGCGGGCTGAACCTCGCACCTGCCTGTTTGCGAGGCCTGGGGCGGCAGACTTCTCTGCGGCGGCGAAGACGTCCCTCGCGTCTTCTGGCGTGGCCGCTGGCGCCAGGCCTCCAGCGTTGGGCGCTGCCTCCAGGCCGCCGCCGATTTGTCTGTTCTGCCTGCCCTTCCTTCTTTAGCTCGTGCGCGCATTGCGTTCTACGCTGCCGTTAACAACCGCCTTGTCACCTCTTTTCTTGCTGCTGGCCCTTCTGCGTGGCCAACGCAAGTTCCGGCCGCCCGCCAAAACTTGGTCACTGCGCAAGAGCTTTGGGCATGGGTATGGTTGCAGACGCTGTTTAGCGCCCAGGAAACTTTCACCTGGGCGGCGCGCGTCCCTCGCGCGCTCGGGGGGGGGGCTTGACTTATTGTGAGTCTCCCCCCCCCGCGCGCGTCGGCCGAACCCTCGTGCGCTCCGACGACTACTCTTTTGCGCGTGAGCGGGAAAGTGTTTTTTTTTTTTTTTTTTTTTTTTTTTTTTTTTTTCTCTCTCTCTCTCTCTTATTACCCCTTCTCCCTGCGCGTTGCGGTCGTTGTGCATGTTTCTCCCCCGCCCATTTCTCTCTCGCGTTCTTCGACGAGGTTGAGCTGCTGGCGCTTTGCAGCGTCCGGGTGAACTTTACTTGGGCGGCGCTCAGCCCGCGCGCGCCCAGTGGGGGGGGCTGGCTGGCTTTTTGTGCCGCCCCCCCCTCCGCGCGCGTCGGCCGCGCCTTCGCGCGCTCCGACGACTTTTTTTTTTTTTTTTTTTTTTTTTTTTTGTTTTGTTGTTTTTTTTTGTTGTGTTTTGTGTGTTGTTGCGCGGGGGCAGGCTATTGGGGATAATGAGGATGAGGATGGTGGTTACGGTGGTGGAAGTGGTGGTGGTGGTGGTGATGATATTGATTGTGATGATGTTGCTGGTGATGGTGATGGTGATGGTGATGATGATGATGATGATGATGACGATGATGATGATGATGATGATGATGATGGTAATGGTTGTCATTGTGACGATGATGAGGATGATGCGGATGAGGAGGAGGACGAAGACGAGGAGGAGGAAAAGGAGAAGGATGAAAATGGGTTGGATGAGGAGGAGGATGAGGATGAGGAGGAGGTTGGAATCGAGCAGGACGAAGGATATGGAATGGATGTGAAAGAGAAGCGTGCTGCTGCTGCTGATGGTGACAATAACGATGATCATGCAGATGATGATGATGATGATGATGATGATGATGATGATGATGATGATGATGATGATGATGATGATGATGATGCTGATGATGATGATGCAGATGATGATGATCATGATGGTGATGATGAGGATGTGGATGAAGAGGAGGAGGAGGAGGAGGAGGATAAGGAGGAGGAGGAAGAGGAGGAAGAGGAGGAAAAGGAGGAAGAGGAGGATGAGGAGGAGGAGGAGGAAGAGGGGGAAAAGGAATATGTGGAGAAGGGGGAGGGAGAGAAGGTCTTCGCCATGGTTCCTTAGGATTCCACGGTTTTTCTGAGGATGCGAGGTTCCATCGGGGTGCTGGGGGAATCTTGCGGAAATGTTGTCCGGCTGCTATAGTAAGATGGCTCTTACATCATCATTGTGAGATCGGAGTGCCAGAAGAAGTGTATGGGGACGCTAAAGGTATACCACAGTATATGGATAGTACACATGCTGCGGGGCCGTATAGGAATATCGTATGTATGCCTGTCAACAATTTGTGCGTTTTTGAGTGTATCTCATATACGCCTACGTATACACATGTCAGCGGTTTGCCGTGTTTGTTGTGCTTGTTCCCCGGCTTTTTCTCTGATGTAGCTCAGCTGCGATTTGTTTTGGGTGATCTTGGGAGGCTGCGACATCGACGTGCGAATTTTATGACGAAGCACGGACCAGTCCGAACTGACACACGGAGTGGACCGAAGTCTTTCCCAGCTCTCCGCCAGGAACAAAACCCAATATTCGCCGCGGAAGTCCACACCGCTGCGAGGTAGGAGAGCCAGGCCTGGGGTTCTCTTGGGTTCATGCTGGGCCGAGGCTCTCGGTTGGTCCCTCTTTTGGGCCCTCGCAGACCGCAGGCGGACCGATCTCGGAGGGAGGAGCGCGGAGAGCGGATCACGAGTGGAACACCTGTGGTTTCGGCATGTCGATTCTCTTCTGGACCTGGGTAGTCCAGATTTCGTAATAAAAGGGAGGGGGGTCTCATTTCGGGGGGGGTCTCTTCCAGGCCATCTTGGAGGGCCTGGGGGGGTCTGGGGACGATGTGTTGGAGGGTTCTCCCACGGGGGGGGGTCTGAAATGGCTTGTCTTGGAGGGTCCAGACCCCCTCCCTTTTATTACGAAATCTGGAGTAGTCGAAGGCCAGACGGGCAGACTGGACTGGGTCTTAAGGGCCAATCTGGCCTGGCCAACTTGGAGGATTTGGGTTCTTCGCCGGACTGGATTCGCGTTGGCTCCCTCGCCAGATTGCCCCCGTTTGCCAGATTGGGCCTGCCAGATTGGCGCCAGATTGGCTTCGACTACCCAGTGGACGGCGTCTTGGGACCGTCTTGGGGCCTCTTGGAGGCCTCCCGGGCGCTTCCTTAGGCGCTGCAGGGTGTCTCCTCCTGGGCCAGTGTGGAGCAATCTTGGCGGCCCGGGTGGCCTGCCCGGGCCGTCTTGGGAGCCCTGAGAGATTGAGAGAGCCCCACGGAGGCCCAGGGAGCCTCGGGAGAGATGGCCGGTGCAACACTTTGTGGCGATGCTGTCGGGAGCCTCGAGTCGGGGGTCAGTGCACACGGGGGTCGGCCAGAGCGCCCGATCTTGTAGCATCCTGCAGGGCCACGGTCGCATCGATCCAGGTTTGGGCCCAGGATCCTGCAGGAGCTTGCGGGATCCTTGGCAGTGACCCGGGTTTGGGTGCAGGATCTTGCGGGATTCTGCAGGGTTTTGCGAGGCCTGGCTGACCCGGGCCTGGATTGACCCGTGTCAGGAGATCCCCGAGATGATGGGGGGGGTCCCTCAGAAGACGTGCAGTCACCCAGGCAGCATTTGGCAGACCAGCACGCCTCCCTGTGCCGGGGGGGCAGGGTGGCGGGCTGGGGCGGTCTGGGGAGCGTGTTTGGAGTTTCTCGATGCATCGTGTGCCCGTCCTGGGGCAGCCTTGCGTGCTTCGTTGTCCGTTTTGGGTGCGTTTTCAGGCTACGAAGCCTTCCCGACGCGATCTTGAGCCGAAACGCCTCGGAAACCAGAGCGAGCATCAGTCAGTGCACGTGTTTTCCTTCTGTCTTGCAATGCCTTTCGTTTCTCAGCTTCTTGGTAGAGGCTTCAATGGGGGTCTCGGAGGCCTCTTCGCGGAAGGAGATACGTTCTCCTCGCCAGCCTCACCTCCCTTCCTCCTCCTTCTCGTCCTCCTCGTCCTCGTCCTCCTCGTCCTCGTCCTTGTCCTCTTATCTTTCCGCTCAGCCCCAATCTCCCTCCTGTCGGCTTCCCTGTTGCCCCCTTCCCTTGTCTTCCCGCTCCCCCTTCCCACCATCCTCCTCTTCGGCGTTCCCGTCCGGTGCCGCCGCTGCCACCACCGTCGCCGCATTCGTCGTCGCCGTCGCCCCCGCCGTCGTCGCCGCCGCCGTCGTCGTCTTCGCCGTCGTCGCCGCCGTCTTCGTCGTCGCCGCCGTCGCCGTCGGCGTCGTCGTCGTCGTCGTCATCGTCGTCGTCGTCGTCGTTGTCATCGTCGTCGTCGCCGCCGTCGCCGTCGCCGTCGTCATCGTCATCGTCGTCGTCGCCGCCGTCGCCGTCGGCGTCGTCGTCGTCATCGTCGTCTTCCGTCGTCGTCGTCGTCGTCGTCGTCGTCGTCGTCGCCGTCGTCGTCGTCGTCTTCTGTCGTCGTCCTCTTCTGTCGTCGTCGTCGTCCTCTGTCGTCGTCGTGGCCTGTCGCCTCCTGTCGGCGTCGCTGCCGCCGCGCAGGCGAGGCCCGGCGGCGGCGGCGCCGCGCAGGACCCGGCCCTGGCGCGCTCCTGTCGCCCGGCCTCGGTGGGGGGCGCGGCCGGCACGTCGCGGCGTCTCCCGGGGGGGGCGGGTGCGGTGGAGGAGGCGCGAGGGGGGAGGGGATCTCGGGCCTCCTCCTCCTCCTCCTCTGATGCTCGCCGCCCTCCTCCTCCTCCTCGTCCTCGTCCTCGTCCTCCTCCTCCTCCTCCTCCTCCTCCTCCTCCTCCTCCTCCTCCTCCTCCTCCCCCTCGGGCGACGAAATCCATCCATCTCCACTGCTCCCCGGCCAGGCCCATCCTGAACCCAAGGAGCTCTGTCCACGCCAGGATGGGCCTGGCCAGGTAGCAGTGGAGATGTATAGATTTCCGTCGCCACGAGATCGAAGAAGAAGAGACGGCATGAGTCTAGAGTTTCGGTCCGCGCGGATTTCTTGGATCGGCGCCGGAGCCCCGTGGCGGCGCCTTTCGGCGCCGATCCAGGGAATCCGCGCGGAGCTCCGACAGTCTGTGACATGCCGCTTCTGACCAGAGTAAGCCAGGGTTGCATCAGCGGTGCTGCGGTACACGCCGACTTCCCAATCCCAGTGCAAGTCGTGCGCCCCCCTGTAAGGCCCCCCCCTCATTTCGGCGAGGGCCTCTCTTTGAAATCGAAGGGTCTTGCCCTTTCCTGGCGCGTATAGAGGAATGCGAGAAGCTATCATAATGAATCATACAACGCAACGAGGTGTCCAGCCATACCCCCTCTTACGAAAGAGGACCGCCCCCAATTCGTTTAACTGCTGCACACGTTTACTCGATGTCATGAACTTCGAGGAAGTCTCAAGCGGCAGTTCCATCTGGAAAAAGAGCCGCTTTGGCTCCCTGCAGCGCTACAAATGCTCCAGCGATAATCCTAGATTGAACCGCTCTCCGTCCGTGAAGCGATTGCGAAATGTCCAAACGGAGGTGCGCGGCGCGATGGCGAGAGCGCCATTTTGAAAACGGACCCCGTTCCGTTTCTGAAGCAGCTGAGAATGTGTGAGACGAATCTGCGTGGCGCTACAGCTAGAGCCACAGTGTGAAAATTGCCACCCCGCGATCCTCGAAAGTGTTACAAATTTGTAAGACGAGAGTGTGCGCGCTGCTTAGGCGAGAACCACATTGTTAAAGCAGCCACCCCTCGATTCTTGAAACTGCTGCAATCTTGTCAGACGGGGGTGTGTGCGGCGCTGAGGTGGAAGCCACATCTTGCAAACCACCCCCTTCCTTGAATATGCTGCAAAATTGTAAGATGAGTGTGCGCGGCTCTGAGACGAGAGCCATATTTAAGAAAGCAACTGCCCTCCATCTTTGAACCTGTTGAGCTTTTCAGAGACATGTGCGCGGCTCTGAGGCGAGAGCCACATTTTGAAAAAGGAGCTCTTTTCCATCAGTGGAAAGTCTTGATTTTTTCAGGAACAGAACGATAATACGCGGCGCTGCAGCGAGAGCCACATTTTGAACACCAGCCCTTTCTTCGTCCGTGAAGCTGCTGCAGGCTCTTATGCTTCAGGGTCGTGGGTGGTCAGGAAGGATCCGCCTACACGCCTGGCCAGTCCAACCTGCACGACTGTGGGTGCGACAGGAGGAGTTCATGTCAAGTCGGGCACGTCCCTCTACAGGAGGAATATCCGAAACCAGTAGAAAATACAGTCGGGACGATTTTTTGAACATTTTTCGATTATTTTTGAATGTTTTTGGGGCATTCTCCCCCCCGTCCAAAATCCCCCCTGTAGGGGGACATGCCCGACTTAAAGTTATTGCTGAAGTGTGCCACTTAGGTCCATGCTCCGAGCACGATTCCTCGCGTGACATGCCGCCTGATGAGGAACACCAGGAGGGCGAGGATGATGGGAAGACGGATGATAAGGATGACTAGGGAGGGCAGGGATGAAAGAGAACTGTTGGAATGCTGAAAATTTTTGGTAATTGTGATGATGATGGTCGTTGTGATGGTAGTAAAGAGGATATTGATGATACTCGTGATCATGCTGCTGTTGACGTGCGGTGATGGGGATTGTGATCGGGATGTTTGGGTGGGTGTCGGTGACGGTGACGAAGAACATGATGACGATGACGATGGCGATGGCTATGTCAATGATGGCGGGGATATCGGCAATGATACTGACGATGCCGATGACGATTCTATGGCGGTGACAAAGACGATGACGACGACGATAACGATACTCATGATGACGACAATGATGATGATTATGATGATGATGCTGATGCTGATGCTGATGCTGATGGTGATGATGATGATGATGATGATGATGATTATGATGATGATGATGGTGATGATGATGATCTGATGATGACGACGATGATGCTGATGAGGGTGACGATGCTGATGATGCCGTTGATGACCATGATGCTGATGCTGTCGACGACGTTGCTGATGGTGCTGATGATGACGAAGACCACGATGGCGACGACGATGGTGATGGTTATGGTGATGATGC